TGAGGTTATTACAAAATTTGTGGCAGGAAGGGTGTCACATCCACCTAGACACGACCCTCTGATCATTGCAGAAACCTAGAACCTTGAACCTTGCTCCTGTAGGCCTGGGCACTGCCAGATGGACCATATCAAATGTAGCACAGCCCCTGTCCAAAAATAAGTTCCTAGAAAGCACAGGTAGGTCGGCATAAACAACAAGTCTCAGTCCTCCCTGTTTGGAGGATGCCTGACCCCTTGTCATGTGCTCCTTCAAATATGCCGATTCTGAGGCCATAGACTTACACCATCAGCACCGAACCTATGCAGCTTCCCTGGGGTGGCACTAACAGGAAGTGACATAGGTATCACCGGCTGACAGTGTCCTCCCCTTACCCATATCCCTCATGGGCATAAGCGCTGCTGACAGTGTTCCTTTGTCATTGTTCCCTACCATTGGGGCCAGTAAACGCAGCCCCAATTAGGGGATGGGGGGGGGATGATGGACTTAGAGCTGATGTCCCCAGGGATGAGGGAGGGTGTTAGCAGGCTGAAGAATAGATACATAAAGGGTCACGGGAATGACCTCAGGAGACAGATGCAGACATCTCAGTGTATCTGTATTATCTTATGAGAGGCTCTAGTGTACCTGAACTCCCAGGAGAGATCCTCCTGCACCAATGTTTCTGTGGGGATGCCCTGGGAAACTTGAACTCCAAGAAAGCACAGCTGGTCTGCCTGAATTCTCAGATGCAAAGCCTCAGTGTGCCTGGTCTCCTAAGTGAGAATCCCTGATGTATTGCACTTCCACATTAGACTCACAGTGCTTCTTCTCTTGCATAAGAAGTTTTTATCCCCTGGTACTTAGAGGTGAGTCTCCTACATTCTTCTGCATTTCCAATGAGGCTTTCATTCCTATGCAGGCCCGTGCTAGACCCATACCTACCCCTTTAAGATGAGAAGGATTAACATCCCCATCAATAAAATGTCAACAGTTTCTTTGAAGTGCTCATACTCTGTTAGGGCAGCTTTACCAGCCCTCCATGGATTATTCAAGCCCTGGGGAGAGGCTAACCCATACATCCCATTCCCATAATAGAGACTGGTATACTTGTTTTGTTTTTTTTTTAATTTGACTTAATTTTACATATCAGCCACGGATTCCCCTGTCCTTCCTCCTCCTGCCTCCCCACCCTCCCCCCCCCAGCCCACCCCCATTACCATCTCCTCCAGGGCAAGGACTCCCCTGGGGATTCAGCTCAACCTGGTAGACTCAGTCCAGGCAGGTCCAGTCCCCTCCTCCCAGGCTGAGCAAAGTGTCCCTGCAATAGGCCCCAGGTTCCAAACAGCCAGCTCATGCACTAGGGACAGGTCCTGGTTCCACTGCCTGGGTGCCTCCCAAACAGTTCAAGCTAATCAACTGTCTCACTTATCCAGAGGGCCTGATCCAGTTGGGGGCTCCTCAGCTATTGGTTCATAGTTCATGTGTTTCCACTTGTTTGGCTATTTGTCCCTGTGCTTTATCCAACCTTGGTCTCAACAATTCTCGCTCATACAATCCCTCCTCTTTCTCGCCGATTGGATTCCTGGAGCTCCACCTGGGGCCTGGGCGTGGATCTCTGCATCCACTTCCATCAGTCATTGGATGAGATTTCTAGCATGACAGTTAGGGTGTTTGGTCATCCTGTCACCAGAGTAGGCACTTGTAATCCCATGTGAGAACGACACCCTGGAGCACTTTAAATCCCAGGTGAGACATTTTGGTGTACGTACATTTCAAAGCTATTGTCCTTGGTGTATTTGCACTCCCGTGACTGTTACACTGCTATTGATAGCTGAGTCCCACTGGAACACCCACACTTCCATAGGAGACTCCCTGGTAGGCATCTCTTCCTGAAGAGACCATCTGCCGATTCAGCAGTGCTACATGAGAGTCTCTAAACCATTTGAACCTCAACAAGTGATTCCTAGGTGCATATGCCCTATGAGACATGACAGTCCAGTACACCTTTGCTCTATGGTAAGTCTCTCTCGTGTCCCTCTACTCCCAGGAGTCTCCCTGGTGAACAGGCACCTCAGGGTGAGAGGTCATGCTGCTCCTGCACTCCCGCAGAGTCTGTGCTCTGACTCCGAACTGCTGCATGCTGCATGCTGCTGCAAGGTGAGTCTCCTTGTGATAACTGCACTATCTGGGATGCTCCCTGCGGTGGTGCCTGCACTGACATGTGAGTCTTCATGGTGCACTTGTGTCTGCAGCCAAGAAACCCCAGGGCAGCTGCATTTCCCTTGTTCCTGCCCTTCAGTGAATGACCCCCAACTGTGTCTGTAACTCTGGGTCAGATTCCATGGGCACTTCTGTTTCCAGGTTAGACTCATTTGTGCATCGGAAATCCCGTGTGTCTCTCTGATGTGCCTCTGCATCTCGGTCCCCTGGCCCATCTCGGCTTTCTAGAGGAAATTCTCTGGTGGATATGCATTTCCAGACGAGATTACCTGGTACAACTGTACCTCCATGTGAGACTTCCTGGTGCACATGCATTGTCAGGAGGAACGTGACTCTTTACTGCATCTGCCCTTTCGGGCCTGGCACCTTGTTGTGCCTTTGCTCTAAGGTGAGTCTCCCTGGTAAATCTTAAGCTTCAGATCAAACACCCTGATGTACCTGCTCTTCTAGATGAGCCGTACTGTCGTTAATACACGCTGATCTGAGCATCCCAAGTTCACATGCACATCTAGGCGTCACACCCTCATGTACCAGGCCTCTGGAATCAGACTTTCTGTTGCACCTGCATTGAATCTCGCTGTCATGCCTGCACTGCTCTTGAACTTTCACATGAGACTCTGGTGCACCTTCACGTCTAGGTGATATTCCCTGGTACACACACACACTTCAAACGGAGTACCCCCTTGTGCTGGTAAACTCTCAGATTAAACAGCATGTTGCAACTTAACATACAGGAGAGACTTCTCTGATGCAAATATAGTTCATTATGTTATACCTGCTTTCCAGAGACCAAGTCACCTCAGTAGACCTGATGTGTCACATTGTCACGCCTGCTTTTTCATTTTTCTTTATTAAGAAATTTTCTACTCACTCTACATACCACCCACAGATCCCCCTCCTCCCTCCTCCCATCTCCAAGCCCTTTCTCCCAAGCCACCCCACATCCCCACATCCCCCAAATCAAGGTCTCCCATAGGGAGTCAGCAGAGCCCGGCACACTGAGCCTAGACAGGTCCAAGCCCCTTCCCACTGCACCAAGGCTTCGCAAGGTGTCAAACCATGGGCACCGGATTCCCAAAAACCTGCCCATGCACCAGGGACGGATCCCGATCCCCCTGCCTGGGTGCCCCCCCAAGCAGTTCGAGCCAAACAACCATCTTCCGTATCCATAGGGTCTAGTCCAGTCCCATGGCGGCTCCACAGCCACTAGTCTACAGTTCATGGGCTTCCTCTAGTGTGACCGATCATCTCTGCACGTCTTCCCATCATGATCTCGACGTTCCTAGCCTGCAGTATCTCTCCTCTCTCTCATCGATTGGATCCCTGGAGCTCAGCCTGGTGCCTGGCCATGGATCTCTGCATCTGCCTCCATCAGTCACTGGACAAAGACTCTATGATGACAGTTAGGTTATTCACTAGACCGGTCACCAGAGTAGACCAGTCCAGGCACCCTCTGGACCACTGCCAGCAGTCCTACGTGGGGTCAACCTTGTGGACTCCTGAGAGCCGCCCCAGCACCCTGCCTCTTCCTCTTCCCATGATGTTCTCATCTATCATGGTATCTCCCTTCCTGTCTTCCCACTCTGTCCCTGTTCCAGCTCGACCCTCCCATTTCCCTGTTTTCATCCCCCACTCCTCGACCTCCGCCATCCCCCCACACCCAGTCCGCTCATGTAGATCTCATCCTTTTCTCCTTCGCTGGGTCATCCATGTGTCCCTCCTAGGGTCTTTCCCTGTTAGCTAGCCTCTCTGGAGCTGTGGGTTGCAGTCTGCATGCCTGCTTTTTCACAGGAGTCTCGCTACAGCTACTTCAGGTCAATCTGAGATCTTTGGTTGTGCAGTCACTTCCAGATGTGACTTCGCATGGTATCTAATCATTGAGTGCGTGGGGCACACACCTCACATATCAGGTGAGGCTCTTGTTGCACCAATACCTCCGTGACAAACTTCCTGGTGTACTGGCACTCAGAGATGAGAATTAGTGATGCAACTGATTTTACAGTTGAGGGTTCTTGGTCATCTGAAATTCCAAATAACTGTCTCTAATTCACCTGCACTCACAAGTGACTGTCCCTGGTGTGCTTCAAACCCATGTGATCATTGATTGTGCATCTGCCCTTCAAGCTGAGCCTCTTTCCTGCACCAGCACTCCCAAGAAAGTCATCCTGGACCACCTAACATGTAATGTCAATCATGGTGCTGCTTCTGCACCTGCAGGTGACACTCCTTGATTTACCTACATGGCTGATGAGGACAGCTGGCACTTGCACATCCAAGGGCTATTGCCTGATCCTCCTGCACTTCTGGATTGCACATCCTGGTGCAGCTTCCCCCTGATGTGAGAGCTGGTGGTACACCTGCCCTCCAGGTGAGACACACGGATGAATACGAATTCATGCAGTGCACAAGCATGCAGTGCCCCTGAGTTCTGCATTTCTAGGCGAGTTTCTTCGTGCACTGGGACTCCTAGGTGATCTTACCTGAGTTGAGATAGTTTCACCTGTACTTGTAGCTGAGTCTCCCTGAAGAACCCAAGCTTCCCAGTTACACTCTGGAAAAGATGACCCACCAGATGAGCAACTGCAATAGACACAAACAGAACATGTCATCATTACTGCCTCTTTAAATTTTAATTATCCTTTAGTGCAATTAAATTACAGTATCACAGCATTTTAACTTCATCTATTCCATTTCCCATAGAGACCTTTCCTTGTCTAGATCTAAGTGTCTATTAAATATTCCTTCTGCCTAGAGAACTTTTTCCAGAATTTCTTGAAGAGGGGATCTTCTGGTGTTCTGGTTTGATTTTTGGTGTTGTGTTGAAACACTGACAAACCCCAGCCTGGGGAGGATGTGGTTATTTCATCTTATATACCTGCATCACAATTCTTCATCAAGGGAGGTGGGGCAGGACTCAAGGCAGGAACCCAGAGGTGGGAAGTAAAGCAGAGAACATGAAGTCATGCTGCTAACCAGCTTGTTGATGGCTTCTCCATTCAGCTACAGATTTTATACAGCTCAGAACCACCAGCGCAGTGATGGGACCATTCCCAGTGGGCTGGATCCTCCACATCAGCAGTTCTCAGTCTGGAAAAACCCAAAGTAATCTGCATAACAGATATTTACATTACAACTCATAACAGTAGCAAAATTGTAATTATGAAGTAGCAACAAAAATACTTTGTGGTTGGGGTGACCACAACCTGAGGAACTGTATTAAAGGGCCGCAGCATTAGGAAGGTTGAGAAACACTGCTCCACATCAATCAGTAATCAAGGTAATTTCTCACAGATGTGGTTACAGGGCAATCTGACCTGGGCAATCCCACAACTGAGACTCCCTGAAATTACTGTGGACTTGTTAAACAGACAGCTGTAGCTAACTGGGACTCCTGGTGTGGGGGACCAGCTCCCACTTTTTCTACCCCAGGGACTGTTGGGGAGAAAGGGATAAGAGCACTGAGTAGAAGGATAGAGGGGGAGAGAAACAGATAGAAACACAAGATAGCCTCAGGAGGCCCTGGATTCTTGTCCACCAGCCCTTACTGTCTCCTCTAAAGGGCTTTTAAAGGAATGCCAAGGGGTGGAGCAAGGACCTCCCCTAGCACAGCCAAGTGCAGACCCTTCCAATCACCTGGTAACCATACACAAGGTCAAGCGATCCTCTAATGCAGCTCTGCTGAGTAAAGCAAGCTCAGATCTCACTAGAAACCTTTGTGCCCCTCCACATCCTAGAAAATAATTCTCTCAACTTTTACTTGAGAAAGACTCTCACTCTCCATATATACATATAGATGCAATCTCTGTATATACTTATAGATACCTGTACATTATGTGTATATATTTTAGCCTGTATAGTGTTTGATGAAAATTCATTGGAAATTCTTATCTTGGAAAAGATTTTAAGCAAAATTGCAAGATCATAAACCCTCCAGCTTTCACCCTCCTATCAGAATTCATGCAACGTGCCTCTGTAGTGCTCTCATTCTCTGTGTGTGTCTCTGTCTCTCTGTCTCTGTCTCTGTCTCTCTCTGTCTCTGTCTCTGTCTCTCTCTCTGTCTCTGTCTCTGTCTCTCTCTCTCTCGGAGTTGATAATGAAATGTGCTGTGCTTTTGTAGCCCCTTCCTCATGCATCTGTGGAATATGTTTATCATTCTATCCAATGCCCAGGAAATACAACAGGGCTGTTGCATTCGTTAACTCACAGCATGTATGGCTGCGTGCACACCCTCAAGCTAGTCAGCATTGTAGCCTGGAGGGGAGAGGGAATCCTCAGTCCCACCACTAGCTGAGACACTATTCGCAGATGGTAATGATTGCTGGGGGAAGCAGAGTCAATTATCTTCAGGGATGAAGTCCCTGGTAAGTCGCCCATGTTCCAGTGCACAGCCCTAGACCCACTAGAATTTGTGTAGCACTAATAGGACTCCGTGGATTGTAAGAAAGAAATAAAAAAAGAACAGGACATTTGGAGAAGGGTGTTTGCGATGTGGTTGGAAGGGGTCCAAGAACGGCAAGGGGTAGATATGCCCAAAATGCAATGTATAAAAGTCTCACATAATAAAATTTTGAGAACAGTTCCCAGTTTCCCTACAGTTGTGCATGGTGTTACATGACTACAATCCCAATCCCAGATCGCTGAAAACTAGGGCAGGAGGATTCTGTGTTGAGGCCATCTTGGGCTACACAATGAAACCCTATCTTGGAAAACAAACAAACAAACAAAAAAAAAAAAAACCTCCCAACATATGCATACTTTCCTCATAGTTTTTCTCTTCTGCAATTCCAGAACTCCAATAGAAAAGATGTTGCTCTATGTCTTACATTAGCCTTCTAAACTCCACTGACAGAATCTCACTTTTTACTCCTTTTCCAATGGAACGCTTTGCAATTCTCTTCACTTTTTATGTCCAGTGGCTCTTTCTCCCTTTTGTCCAGATGGATACATGGCTTCTGCTTGGTATGCAAACACTTCACCACTAGCCTCCCACCAGCCTCAGTGCTTCTTGGATTTGCAGTCTCATCCGCAGCTCTTAAGGTGATATTGAACGTTCCAGTAGCATTCTCGTTTTGTTCCTTTTAGGATACTGGATGTGTCTACTGACAGTCTCCATCCAGTCATGTACTGTGGCTGTGTGGTTTTCTGCCTTCTGTACACTGGTTTTGTATGGAATCTATTGGTAGTTGTTTCTTCTCTGTATGTTTCTTGGTTCCCACATCTCTAGTGTGTATTGTATGTGTCACAGTTTACTGATTCTCTACATAGAAAGTTTTTCTGACTAGAGTTGGTGGGTGCTACTCTGTACCGTGTAGAAGTTGGTGAAGTGTTCTCAGGCTGTTGGGTGAGCTTGGTTCTCCACAGGTTCAGTTTTAAGCCTGGTTGGGATGAATATGTAGTGTCCTTTGCTCTGGAGGCTAGAGGTCTCCTGTTCCTGCCTAGCTTTCTGGGTGAGTGCCAACAACTTCCAGACTGTTTTCCTCTTTGCTGCCTGAGATGTAGGCAATTCTCAGCACCATGGAACATCAGGGGTTGTTCTCTGGAGACGCAAGATGGCTGCCACTACATAGGAGAGCTGAGAGGTCTCAAGGCATTCCCACTTTCTGTATCCCCACTTTGTGTAGCCTCTATTCTCTGCCCCCAAAGAATATAGCTACTTCAGTCTCCCCAAGAAACCTGAAAGGGACCAGCCTTCTCCATCTAGTCGTCCTGAAGCTCTTGCAGGCAGAAACGGAGGAGAGAGCATGCGTCCCTTCGGGACAATCCCATGCTCCTTGTCATCTGCTGCCTGCAAAGTGCTTCATGTCTTTGTCAGTGATTAACGGCTAGTTTGGGTAGGGGCTGCCACTGTCTGTGACCTCATGGTAGAAGTCTCAAATTAAGTACGTATTTTCTCTTTCACAAAAGGTTGTGTTCTCTAGCCTGGCTCGGCTGCCTGTACTTATTTCTTCCAAAATTTTAATTGAAATATAATTACACCACCCCCTCTCCTCTCTCCAACTTCATGTCACCCCTGTTCTCTCTAAAAATTCATAGCCTCTTGCCTGCTGAGTCTTTTAGTGTTGCTTCTACGTATATGTTTTTATGGCTCGCCAGTTGGTGTTGGATAACTGTTTAGGGAGCTCATCCCTGGGGAAGACTAATTATCCCTCCGTTAGCGGTCTTTAATTACCTGTAGCTCTGCATCTGGTGGTGGAGCCCTGTGAGATTTCCCCCATCCATGTTGGCATGTCAGCTGGTGTTGCCATTCTTCAAGCCTCACTTAAACAGCCATATTTTGTGATATCATGAGTGTAACTTCCGACATATATAGAAGGCCCAATCTTGCACCAGACTTTCCTGGCCTCTTAACGATACCTCCACCCACTCTCCTACTGTGTTCTCTGTGCCTAGACTGTGTTGTGGATGTATCCATTGGGGCTAGGACCCACAATCAGTTTTTCTCTGAAGGTTGACTATTATGGCTTTCTGTCTGATCTCTGACTGATGAAAAAAGAAACTTCATTTTTAAATTATGTTAGTTTTTGTGTTCTTTGGTGTGTGTGTGTGTGTGTGTGTGTGTGTGTGTGTGTGTGTGTGTGTGTGTCTGTGTGTGTGTGAGTGTTTTGCCTGCACCAAGGTCTCTGTACCCTGTGCATGTGCATACAGTTCCAGCAGATGCCAGAAGAGGGCATCGGATCCCCTGGAACAGGAATTGCAGACAGTTGGCCAATACATGGGAGCCCAGGAATTGAATCCAGATCTTCTGGAAGAGCAGCCAGTGCACAGAACCACGCAGCCATCTCTGTAGCCACTCACCACCTGAAAAGAAGCTATTTTTGGTGTGTGTTGGGGGGAGTGAGATCAACATGTGTCTCTGGGTATAAGTATTCAGAAAGCAGTGAGGATTTATAGTGGTTTAAGGAAGAGACTGTAGTATATTCTCCTGTGTGATCCATGGCCTCACTAGACACAGGCTAGGTCTATAGTACCAGGCATGATTTACCTCCTGGTGGTCAGGCCTTAAGTCCAGTTAGAGAGATGTTGCTTCTCCCCAGGATTTTAGTGCCACTGTTGCACATTTAGGAGTTGGCTGCTCATTGTTACGATTCATGGGCAACACAGCTGGTGGGACTGTTGAAGGCTCGCCTCCCTTGGCTACTTGCATAGCAGCTTCTGATACCATGTATCAGAAAGCTTTGAAGGTCAGATCTAGCTTGAGCCCTCCTGGCCAAATGTCAAAATGCCTGGTGTCTTCAGCAATATGGACTTATCTTCAAATTCTGAGAGGCAACCAAGGGCAATAGCAGTGGCTTATAATGTTTGGGGTGTTCTCTTGGACTCCTCTGAGTTACGACTCAAAAGGAGGTTTCTCATGCCTGGTACTGTGGATTTATTTTTCAATAGTCTATGGCTCTTGGGGGAGGCATTATCATCCCTATTGGCATCATTTTATTATCTATATTTATTTATATGTATTTTATGTAAATATATAATAATAAGTTCACTATGGATATTTCAAATATCCTTATTGCTATTTATCCTCCCTCTGTAAGCCCACCCCATTTTTCCATTTCCCTCTTCATGTCACCTGTATCATGTTAAGCCCCATTGGTCCTGTAGATGTAACCAACCATCTTATTAAATAAGAAACACAGAACCAATGCAAAGAAGAAAGCCAAGAGGTCAGAGCTAAGAGCTAAAACCTTACCCTTCCTCCTGCAGTGGTCCTACCTCTCCGAAAGAGAGCTATTTCCTGTTTTAAAGTCTTTATAAAGACTTTTGGTTCTGCCTTCTCATTGGTTGTAAACCCAACCACATGACGGCCTCGTCACTGCCTGCCTGTACAGACCTCCAGGTCCTCTATGGTTGGTATTTAGATTAAAGGCGTGTGTCTCCAATGCTGGCTGTATCCCTGAACACACAGAGATCTACCTAGCTCTGCCTACCAAGTTCTGGGATTAAAGGCGTGCGCCACCACCGCCCGGCTTTGCTATGGCTTGCTAATAGCTCTGACCCCCCAGGCAACTTTATTTATTAACATACAAATAACATTTTAGTACAAAATAAAATTTCACCATATGGTCCCTTTGTACTTTCATGGTTTCTGT